GATGAAACATGGACACAGTAAGCTTTTCCACCACCCCACTGCTCTCATCAAGGAACTAATCATTTAGTACATTTGAAACCCCTAACCTCTGGACAATGCCAGGTTGATCCAGCCTTCCAGAGCCTGATGTTCTCCAGATATTTCAGAGGATAGTTCTTAGAGATGCTGTCTGTGCTGGCAGAGGCTGGAACTCAAATGGGTGTTTGTGTGTGCAGTCCGAAACATTAGGATGCTACAAGGTTCACTCCAGCCTATTGGTCACCATCCTTGGATCCTCAGATATTCTTGGACTAAAACAAAGCCTTCACCTCCAGCTGTGCTGGCCAGGATTTCTAGGAGATGTAGTCATGGAACATCTGGGAGCCCAAGGCTGAGAACCAATGCTCTTGTCCTGTCCTCTGACTGTGACTTGGGAAACAAAAACACAGAAACTGAAGAAGGTGGAAACCAAAATATTTTGCTTAAATATTTCTATTTGTTAGTCCATCTTATCCATGAGTGTATCTCTATCTTTCTATGCTTAAGAATCTATATTTCTTATATGTGAGATAGGTGCACATGCATGAGAGAAATGTTTTGTCTTTCTAATCTTTTCTTGTACTTGACAAAGACTTTTCCCTCCAAGAGAGTCTTAATTTGCTTACCTCTGCTTAGATGTACTGGTCCCTCATTAATGACTTCTGAATGACTCCTAATGACCACCATTAAGATCTGTATTTTTCACCTCCTAGTGTCTAGCAAATGACCTTCAATGAGCACTGTTTAAGCCATCAGGATGCTAGTCCTTTCGAACTTCAACTTACACTCTCAATCTCTTCTCCCAACGGCAAGACAAACATTTCGTCACCCTTTTGCAAGGTCAGAGAAATAATTCTTGAGTTGCATATCCCATAGTATGAGGGCAAAGCAAGTGAGGATTTATATCCCGGCGAGGCCCACTATTTTTGACATTTCTGAAAAGACCTCCCTTCGAATGATGCCCTTCAAGGATATACCATCACCAAGCTTTTGCTAAAAGACAACTAAACCGAGAACAGAGATTGGACATATTACTCCTTTGAACTGCACCTCCCAGAAGCTCCAACCAAACGCCAAAATGGTGGGTTTTTTCTTCCAAGCACTGACCACACAGAAGTACTCTGAACAGCAATAACTCAGGTTGGATTGTGTGTGTTCCCAGCTGCAGAGAAACGCTTTCAGGTCAGGATTCTATACAGAGCTGATCAAAGAGGAATTCTGTTGCTGTTCTGTACTGTGTTGCCTCAGTCCAACCTCTGCCCTTCACCCTTATTTCTATAGCCTTCAACTTTCTATGAGATGTGTTTGATTTTTTAAAAAAAACCGTGAAAGAGGAAATATTAAATAGCTGCCTACACTAGGACTGCCACAATGCAATTCTTAAGCAAGCATGTATTTTTGAAAGCCAGGAAATATGAGGCATTTATATAGTGTACCTCTTTGAAGAACAGAAAAGGAAAAATAAAGTTTGCTACTGGATTTTCTAGAGAATAAACAGAGATAACTTAAAAGACAGTCTATGGCCCAGGTAAATCAAAAAAACTTCTGCCTCCTGCTGAGGGCTTACCTTATATAGATTTTTTTAAGATGAGGCAGTAAATTGCATTAATTCAACCCTCTACTGCTGTCCAAAAAAGAATTATTTTTGTAAATGACATGGTAAATCACAGACTTGTTAGCTGCGCTGCAAGAAAAAATGGATTTCAAAACTGAAAGCTATAATTTATCAAGTGTGCTTTTGGCACAGGGTGGGGAAGACAGACGAGAGAGGCAATGCATTTGTTAAATTGCACATATGTACTTCATACCATGGTACTCAGAAATACGAAAATACTCTCGATCTTTTCTCATCTCAAACGTGCAAAGGAAAACAACAGGGGAAAGACATTCTGGTGCAAATTTGATGAGAATTAATGACATGATTAATGCTTTTGGAAACCTTAAGTGCCTTTGCTAAACCTCACACTTTTTCATGTCTCTGTTGGAGGGAAGCTCTTCAGAGGAGATCCAGAGCTTTCAAGGGCTAGATGGTGCAGAGAAGCAGACTGCCTCTGAAGACCTTGGACCTCAAACAGGTCTGAAGAATCTCTTCCAGAAGAGGCAACCAGCCTCAATCTAGTGGGCAGAAGAAAAGGCACATGTTCTTCCCACCCAAGAGAGTGGGACCACGTATAAAGGCAAGGCTAAATGCAAACCAATTAAGTTGCCCTTCTTCTGA